GGGTTTATCACATCCAATATGACGAACAAATTGCAAGGAACATATGTATGATGTCACGAGAAACCTTGAAAGATGACTTGAACTCTGTTTATAGTTTACTCTCAATTGCTTGTTTTGGATCACACCCTATGAAAGCTGGGATAAACTCCAGCGCCCCCCTCCCCGGAGAATCTGATAAGGATAATTGGAAGACGATGGATGGATCTTCTTCCATGTTTGAATGATGAAAATTATTTAAGCCTGTGAAGTCTGACTGCCTGGTAAGGTTACATTTTGGGGAGATCCTTTGGTCAGACTTAATCCACTCAGTCCTGTATGCATGTGTATAGTCCTCTCTATTGCCCTCTGTCTGTGCTACTTTTGCTAGTTTGCTGCAGCATACTTTTGCATTCCCTCTCTTTATACACCTGACAGAAACACTGAAATCGCTTTATAAGCAACATAATTAAAACAAACAGCATTGTAGACATACAGACTATGACTGACATGGCTCTTGTTGGTTAGATTTGAACTGTGTTGTTGTTCATACTCACTCATCTGTTTGTGCTCTGTGTAAAGCACTTACTCCCCTAGAAATAACCTGACAGGTGACTTAATCTGAGATTAAAACAACGATTCTATTCATAGACTCGATTTGCTTCTCAGGGGAAAATGATTTCCACAGATCTTTCTCCTTTCTGGTGAATCAAAGCTGTACATATTTGATAAATATCATCCAAGCAGAGACAGATGAAAGAGATTTCAGTGACACATGAGGATAAAAAATAGATTTTAGCTTGCAGACATCAATCTTTCAGTATATCAAGGTAACCTTCAGAGCAGAATGTGTAGAGAGGTGCATGAATTGTCTAGGTGTGGTTGATGATTCCCTCTCCTCTTGTTCTTCTCTTTTGTTTCCGGTGGCTCTGCTATCTCTGCTCCCCTTTCTCCTGTTTATTCGTCGCTTTAGACACGAGCAGCCCTGCTTTGTCTTTCTCGAAGAAGTGTGTCACTGAGCCAAGTGAGGAAAGGACAAATAGCTTTACATGACTGTCTGCTGATTATTACTCACTGTTTTGTAATGACAGTACAATATAATGAGTATAGTGGCTGACACTTTCCCCTAACAATCAGAAAATCCCTGGTTTGATCCCAGGAGGAGACACAAATGCGTTTGAAGCTGTGCCAGAAAGGGCATCCAGTGTGAAATCTGCAAAATATGCAGAGCTACCCACTATGGTGACCTCTTGTGACTATAGGAGAAGCTAAAAGTAGCTTTGGTTGAGGTGACTTTAAAGTTTTTCGTCTAAAGGTTCCCCATCAATCCTCCTCATACCTGCTCGACTGTCCATTTGAAGCCTCAGACTGTGATATTGAAAATGTCAGTCACACAGACAGAGATATGAGAGTTTTGACGGTCAGGATAAATTTAGAGAATCTAGCCTCACACACACGTACACACACACACACACACACACACACACACTAAAACACAGTACAGACTATGCTGCTGAGACTGTCGCAGAGTCATCTTTGACTCCTTCACAGTAGTCAAGATTAAATGGCTAAAGAAAAGCGAACCAAACGTTAAGTCTCTTCATTGTGATGCCGCTCAGAGCATGCTATTGTTTCTTTGTCCAGCCACTGTATAGCAAATAATGCTCTAAATATCCAGCCTCATAAAAATGTTTCCACTCTGAAGAGGCTGTTTGGATGTCACCATTATAGGAAGCCTGTGTATTAGACTGACAAAAGGAAAAGCGTGACACACTGCACTTTTCTTCCCCAAAACAAACAGATACTGTGCTTGTTCAGGCCAACAAGCAGATCCCTTGCCTCCTCCCGGACCGGTTTGACGCCAGAAAAGCCACGCGTCTCTGCTGTCACACACGTAACACTGGCATATCAATCAGCTCTTTATCTGCTTCCTCCACATGACAGAAACAGAAAGACATGTGCCTGTCAAAAGTCAGAGAGGTTATTTTGCTCTGAATACCCCTTGAGATCATGATAGGAGATTAAATGATTGGTTGAATTATCCAACTGGCCTTTAAAGCCTATTGGTTATGTTGTAATGGGAGGTATGCTGAATAAACCACTGCCGGTGCAATTTTCTGATTTTTCTTGACAGCAGCCAACAAAATCAATGCAAAGGCAGCTTTTT